ACGGCGACGAGAAGGCGGGCGAGGAGGCGGACGAGCGGACGCTCGCGGCGTCGCGGCCGGTGACAGTTATCGAGGACAAGCTCGCGGGCGCGAATGTGGATGCAGACGAGGAGAAAAATGCTCTGCCTCGGGAAAATCCCGTCCCTCCGGTGGAAGCATCTGCGCAGACCGGGTCTGTGGACGAAGGGGTACCGGAGGCGGCTGGTTGACGAGCGCCGAGCACCGAGCGGGCGCGCTGGGCGCGCTGGACAAGGGCGCAGTGCGGGGATCGGGGTCGTGTATTTGCGCCTGGGATTATGTGATTTCGTCGACGTGTTCAGTGTTGCGATGTAGTACTGCGGCCGGTGTAAGAGGGAATGTAGCGCAGGATCGGCTGTCGCCTTTCTCGAGCCAGGAGCCTCTCGCGGTGCAGGATTGGCTTTCAGCTACTCCTGTCGCGTTCCCGTTCTACAGCTTGTTCAATTGATTGACTTAGCTTTGTCCTGTATTCCCACTAATCTGGTGACTACTATTCGACGACCGATACGGCTTGGCGATGTGACTGTTGAGTGACTATTCGAGTGAAAACAACATCAGGAAAACATGCACTTTCCTTTTTGCTTTTTTTGTGCTTTTTGTGCTTTTAATTTTTTCTGTACATCTTAAAATGAATTACACAATACATATGCACTATTGCTTTTTTTTTTTTTTTTTGCTTTTATGCTTTTGTCACAAAAAAAGCACAAGAAAAGCACAAAAAGCAAATGGTATGTTTTCCTGATGACATCTCATCCATTTGAAACATCTCTGAAACAGGTCCAGCACTGATAGTCATATTAGAAGTACAGACAATGAAAGAAAAAGACAAGACAGGAATGCAAGAGAGAGAGAAACTGGAACGTAGAAGATCAAGTGGAAGAGACCAAGACGGAGAGACTTTGACGAAACGAGTCAAAATGGTGATGCAGGCAGGATGCAAGCGTGAGATCTCATGAAAGGTGTAGCGCGTTAGAATTCCCCGTTACACCGGACGTATGCAAGGCACGCATCGTGCAGATGGCATCATCCTACTGGCGCGTCCCGTCCGAGCCTGCGCTTTCGAACGCCCTTTCCGGGTGTTGTGCGGGCGATCAACAAGATGGTACTATCGAGGTTAGGCGAGCCTGCACGGACGACCGCGGTGTGTTGGACGGCGGCAATGAGGTCAAACTGCTGCTTGTACTAGCTCGAGTTGTTTAGTACACTATCGATCTCGACGGCGTCGAGTCGTGAGTGCGTCGTACCTGCAGCGCACGGCCGCTCGCTCCCCGGGAATTGGCAAGCGAAGGCGATTTGCGCGCATAGTCTATCACTGCCCTGTGCTCTGAGCAGATCTAATTACACCGCCCGGACATGCTCGCTCAAGCTTAAGCCCGGTGAGAATCGTCATAAATTAAAACGAGGAACTGTGTCATTCAATGAGAAAAAAATGAGATAAACCGAATTGGCATGAGTTACATTATTCAGCTTTCTTCACGCGTTTTCAACGCAATTCATTGAGTGACCCAGTTTCTCGATTTGATTTGATGTCATGATTTGATTTGATTAATGTCACTTTCCACTGGGGCCCAAGGCCCGGGCTTCGGCGGATTTGGATACACTATCAATATTGCACAGCGTCGGTACTGCGATCTGAGGTCTGACGAGAAAATGTGCCGACCGCAACTAGTACACTGGTGATCTAGGGGCATCGCCTCAACGCAGATTAGTGACCGTCTAACGAAGCTGATGAAGTCGCACGTCAGTATTTTGAGGCACGGCCGCTAGCAGCGTGATGGCAGCGAGTGTGTATTCGGCACCCATGGAGAGCAGATGGCCGCGTGAGAGTGTGTTCCAACTTCAAGCCAGCAATGTGGGCGTTAGACGCGACGGCGGGGCAAAAAAGGACGCCCTAGCAGGAGAACCAGAAAACACTGAACGGAAAGTGTGCCGCGGACCCCACACCGTAGCAGTGGTATCCCAAACAGCCGGATGCCGTAACAATAACGCCCGTTGCGCTACACATGAAAGGGAGTCAACTTCAAGGCCATTCTGGTGCCTACATACATGGCGAGGGGAGCGCAATTCCTATCACGTACAAAGAAGAGACCGTAGCACCGTGCCGACAATAGTGGTAAAATGACCGCGTGTACCGCCGACTCACTGGTACTGAAGGTCTCCCACGAGGTGCTCCCTCTTCGAATGGTCACTCGCCTGCGCACGCCAAACCTCTAGCACATGCGGATTGCCGTCCTGCACGATGGCACTCCTGCCATTTCCGAGTGTGAAGTGCTTGCGAGGGCCACTGTGTCCCGGGACGTCCACTAAGATGCCTTCGGCCGTGTGGACCCAATACTCGTCGTGGTCCTCCTTCCCTGGATCAATGTCGTGGGTCGGGCCTTGGTCGTATCTGACCCGGATGGTTACGGAAGAGTTGTTGGTGACATAGGTGAAGTTCGTCATGATCTGCAATGGGAGTGTCAGGCTTTCTCAGCGGAGGTTCAGATGTTGCTATAACGCACGTCTTTATGCGAGCACGCGATATCGTTAAACCAAGCTGCACAGCGGATGCGAGAAGAGATCTGTGCGCAATGTTCAACCTTGGCCAACGATGCAAACAGAGAGTTGTAGCACAGCAAAGTAAAACTCACAAGAAGACAGATGCCTTAGCTTGTCCTGGGGTGTTGCCGTCAGATGCGAGTGCTTTTATACCAAGCGAGGAGTACAATAAATGTGAGAAGTTTGAAAATGGAATATCCACGGCGACTCCAAAGTAAGGAGAGCTCCATACTGTAAAAGCGAAGGCACCCCGGGGACGTTATTCTAGGCTCCGATCCTCGATCCTTTTTACACGGTAAGGTTCGGGGGCGACGAACGAGTCCATGAGTCCTGCGTTGTTTTCGTAAGGGCTGCGGCCACGACTTCGGCATCTGAGCTATCCGCCTGGGCAAGATAATGCGCATCCATCCTACACGGGAACATGTACATCTCCAGTATGCACATACCTGGTAAGCGTTGCCCACGCAGTTCGATCTCGGCACTCAACGGGACTTCGCGGAAGGCGGTCACGTTCGGCAGCAGTGCTCTGCCCCACGTCGACAAGTTCAAGAATGTGTGATCGCCAGGAGGATGCGCGATCTGCGATTGTCTTCTAAGGCGTCGCCACACCTCCCCCGTCAGATCGTCCGACTAGAAGCACCGCTCCGCGGTCACTCGCGCAGTTCACAAACGCCACCTATTCAAAGCACTCGAGTGAGTTCCAGAAGAGCCGGGGAACATAGGCTGCGAGTGTGGTCACCTGAAAGAGATTGCGCGGTGTGAACAGCGACTGGTCCGAAGATGGTTCACCGAGGATCGTCGTCGTAACATAACGCGATACATCACGAGCGATGTACGGCACAAAACGAATGCGATACGACCCTTTTGAGCTTCATTCTTCACACATACGCACACGGAATCACCATGTTGAGCGATAGAAGCTGAGAATTCACATACCGATAAAGCTGACGCGGACGGGCGGACATCGATCCTGGCATCATAATGAGGATATAAAGGTGAAGCAGCTGCAGCTACCTGTCGAAGAAATCCTAAACTTCTGGCACAGCTAGGAAGATGTAATTGTTCTGCCATTGGGGTCTTGGCCTTGCCAGTTGACCAGGGAGCCCAGCGCCTCCTCGAGATTCGAAATCATTCGAGGTCCAAGAGTTGTCGCTCGAGTACTAGTTGTAGGCTTGAGGCGAAAGTACAAGCATTTTCTGAACGAATGAGACGATTTGACTGTAGAAAGCGTTTCTCGATATGTACCACAGTTTGTGGGCTGCTTCATGCAAGTGAATCTTGTGTCCTCGCGTCAGAGTTACGAAGGGCACTGGAATTTGTTCAGTAACAGGTTATCAAATAATTGAGTCATTATTTGTACATGAACCTAACAACCCATGAAATCGATTACGAGCCAGAAACAGTGTACAGACACGCACCACGCCATACGTGTTTGGTCCTCTCCCACTCTCCATATTTACGTGCCTCATTCCACTCGCTGTTTGAGCACCAGCCAAATCGCGCTGAGGAGTACACTGAACAGTACTACTAACACGCTTTGGGAAGGGAGGGCAGCAGAATCTCTACCTCGTATATCGTAGCTTCGGCCCTGGCCGATAGTCACGATCTCTCGCGCACGCGCCTCCAGCATATCGTCCCGTTCGGCTTTACGTTCGAGTTCCAGCAACCTTGTGCGAGAGCCTGATTCAAATATGAGTGGCACAGCGCCGTCGAGAGCAGGCTGCGGCGCAGGGGCGTTCGGGGGATAGTAATGCTCACACCACAGCTCGATCTGATCAGTGTGGAGGTTAGCTGTGATCATCGTGATGTAGGACGAAACGCACGCGCCTTCAAACATGCTACAACAAGATCCACATAGTTGGGGTCCTCCAAGTTCGCCTTCTTTCGAAGTTTGCACGCATATTCACGGAATACGCAGGCGACGTCTCGAGGGCTCGTAGATCGCATGACTAGCTAGATGCTCGATAAGACAGCCAATACCAACATTAACTATGTAAAACACTCACAGACGCAGCTTCCCCCTTTCGGATGTTCGTCGTCCCGTGAAAGACTTCGCTGTTCATGTAACACACATAGAGTCGAGCTATGTCGACGACCTGCGGGAAGGCGCAGAAATTGAACACGCTCTGCCGCTGCAAGAGATGCAGATAGTCGAGAGCGTCGATGGCATGTCTTAATGCGTCCACAATCATGCCGCTGAGCACCCAAAGCGCCTGTCTCTCATTGCCGCGCTGGTACATCTCCTCCATTTTGTTGAACGCTGGCCGCCCGACAGCCTTTCCGTAAACTTGGCGACCCCATATCTCCTTTGGCCAGTAGAATCGATCTTCCTCGATGTCCTCTCGGTAATCACGAATGATGTCAATCTTCTGCAGGAATAGACCCATAGAGTTTGCCAGCGCGAGCTGCTGGCGAAGCCACGGCGCCTCCTTTCCGGACTGTGCGAAAATGCACGTCATGCCTTCGCCGACGAGCCCAGCAACATAATGGCAATATAGGTCGAAGTCGGCGATCGTCTCAATGTAGAGCTGTCCGGTGACGCCTGCCCGCTGGCAGTAGTCTGCCATGCCATTTCCCATCTTGCGTGTAATGTCGAGTATAATCTCACGGTATCTGCTATGCATGAAAGGTCGCAAGTTAGTATGGGTGAGCGGAAACCGACGTAGGCCACGCGTACGGCTCATCCAAGCGCACAAGCTCTTCGTGGATAACGTTGAATTCGACGAGCATTTGTCGCAGTTTCTCCTTTGGACTGCTCTCGGTGAATGTCCATCCGGGAAGCATAGCGAACTCGTCGAATGATCTAAGAAGTGTTTGTTTCTGCTCTTCCGGGATTGTCATATCATCCTCGATTGTATCCAAAGCACGCAGTATAATGTAAAAAATGCACACCTACGAGAATAATGCGTCAGCACTTGCAGAGACATTATACAGCGATACCCACAATTCTCGCCGTATCTCCTTCTATTTGCTTAATGACACTGCCAATGGTTTTGCTCTTCATGTCTAAGAACTCCCAACACCTGCGCATCGTTTGGTGATCCCAGCCGGTATAAACATGTTCGCTAGGTGCAGTGATGTCACGTTTTGGTGAATGAAAGAGCTTGAACCGGAGCAAAGTGAGGAACTCCAGTGGGTGAACAACGAAGAGAAAGAACAAAGAGGATGCACCCATAGCTAAACTTGTGAGAAACAAGAGAACAGACTTGGAGGGATAGTACTAGATACCAAGTTATCATTTATTACCCCAAAGGCATTGGGTCCTCCAATATAGAATGCTCAAAACGGTTCTTCTCTTTCCACTTCTCGCAACTAGTGAGATGTAATGGAAAAACAGATGCGGTCTACCACCGCCCCGACAGGCATTGTCGCGGGGCGATAAGCTCCCCGTCGCCCAATACAGAGCCGCATTTACGATATGGATCATATTTTCAGAGCCCGGATTCGATTTAGACCTCACTTGGCGAAGGGAGTCAAGACATCTGGGTGCGGATTGGGCGGCGCTGGGTGATGGACGTAAGAGAGATTGATCATCGTCAAGAATACGACATCCGACTGCAAGCGGAACTAATTTTGACAGAACACAGTTGTTGCTCTGGAATCTGCGCGTATCCCTTAGAGCATTCCGGAGTTTACGTGGGCGTTAGTACGTCAAACCCCACGCATCGCACCAAATGTCGATGAGCTTCCAAGTTGGGCAAGACATAATCAGTGACTCACCTGATGACCCTGGTAATGAAATACCACAGCCTCACTAGCTATCCTCTTAGCTTAGAAGATTAGGCTCGCACGCCTCGAGCACGATCTCCAGATGGGGCCATAAGAGCCACATTCAAGGGGTTGCGTGACCCAATTGACATGTTCTAAACAAGAGGTAATTACTATCGCACAGCAGTAGCAGTAGCAGCAGTCGTTATGACGTCTGGTAGATAGAGTAACTCACCTCTGAAGCTGTTGCGCCTGGATAATGTGACTTCAAATGCGAGCTCAGCTTATACTGCTTAGCGCTCACTTGCCCATTCGGAACATGCCGGGCCAGATAGCTCGTCTTGATGTTCTTTCAGTTCAAATACAAGTCTAGCAAAATTTTCTATCCCGCTTTAATGCTATACTTTGATGATTCACAGTGATTGTCTTGGTTTAATGGTCCTCCATCCGACACACTGTGTAACTGACGCTCCGGGGCTAGCACTGGCGAGATTGGGCGCATTATGCTAGATTGATGGAAGTTGTTCGCTCTCGAAAGGAGGGTCGAGATGGCTTCTATGCTCTTGAGTGCGCCATATTCGTCTCTTCAGCACTATCACAGTCTACGCGTCCTCATAGGCAGCCATAAGTTGCAGAAGTGATGCTGTAGGATCCAGGCGGTACACGCAGCACTGTGAGGTCCACGCCGGCGGTGTCTCCTTGATGTTTCTTGGTTGATGCGGGACCATTGCTCAATTCTGACCGAATAGCCCAACCGAACGGAAAGTTCCTGTTATCATGCATCTCCGTTTTGAGAATAACAGACATGTGAATCGTTTTGAATTTACCGCTCAGGTCCGAACGTTAGCTCGTATGGTCATGTTGCTGAGACGCACAGCGAATGCGAGCGTCTTGTTTGTAGCCGCCTTCCTTGACGCCTGCAGACATGCCAGCTACGAAATTGAGACTCAGAGTGACCACTTAATGACTGAGTGACTGAATATCCAGCCTACTGGGTGAGTCCTTCCGAGCGCATGTATCAATTTTGGCGTATCTCACCGTTTTACAGCATTCCGCAGATGCTCTACGCATGAAACTATCGATTTGTTCAGTGGCGGAGGTATCATTGTATTGTGTCACCCCCGAAGGTTCACATTGAGATTATACTCAATAGAACAGATGTGAGCGGCGTAATTTGTCAAGGGGTTCCTTTATCCGCGTCTATCTTTACTCATTATATTTTGATATATCACTACTGATATTAGCGTCTTCTCCGATCTCTGCCACCATAACAAGCTATCAGTCCATCACGATGTGGCGCATTCAGGACGCCGTCGTAGCGTGCCTAAGACGCATTGTCCCAACGAGATCAGAGCTGCAGCTGTGGTTTTTTTTTTGACTCCCTTTATTGTCCGCGAGGGCCTGGCCCTATGTAGACAGTAGGTACGGTATGTGCGCAGAATATAGGATACGCTATCGAGATCGGAACGGAGACATTGGACACAGCCCGGTGAGAGGTGTGTGGGAGGGCGTAGCTGAGATACTGTGAGTGGCCAGAAGATCAGCGAAGAAAGAGAGAAGACATGATATATACACGCGAAAACGTTGTGAGCTACCGGGACTGGTGCGGCGGACCTGCGGACACTCGTTCCGGCCATTCAAGGCAAGGGACATAGTTCTAAATCCCCCGCTAGAGGGCTTAGCTCCTCCTACGACAGAGTCACAGCTAGGGGGAAGCCGGTCAGTGGTCCCCCACTGCCCGTCGAAACTCCCCGCATCCCTAAACTGGCATCTGCACGCACCCAGCCCGTTTACTGGGAGAAGAGGAAAGGGAAGCAGCCGTGGTTGATATCTTGATTCTCATCTAACTTATTCCGAGGCCGTGGCGTCTCGTATATGGCCAACTGAGTATCTTGACGCACCGCATAATGTAGCGCTCATGATGCGCTTGGTCCCAACTTGGTAAGTGACTTCAAATGATGCGAAATGGTTCAAATCTCAATAGCCGCAAAGGGTCACCGGTCATGGTGCAATCCCCATCGTCCATGAAGTTCTGTAGGCAGCTGATAAGCTTTGTGGATTCATGTTTTCATCGTATTCTTCGCTGCAAAATTCGACCTTTGGCTTTAGTGACAGTTCGCCCCTCCCATTCGGCACATAACATCCACTATGCTGAGCCTATCACTACTCCTGGGTATCGTTGTTGGTGCTGTACCACTGTGGTTAATTTTCACCATTTGTATTAGATTAAAGTCTTCACCCCTGCGCACAATCCCTGGTCCCCCTGGCCTGAGCTACTTTTATGGTAATTTGTACCAAATTCACAATAACACAGAACAGCACGAAACTTGAGTAGAGGAGTATGATCATACTATCAAATACAAGTGGTGGCTGAATGTTTTTTCACTGTGTCCTGCGTATTCCTCGAATTATTGACAAAGCAACACAGGAAGATCGCCTGTATACTGTAGACACGTGGGCTTTGCACTATATTCTCATCCATTCGAATATCTTCCAGAAGCCTAACGTCGCTCGCTACATGGTTACTGAGCTAATTGCAAATGGTCCGTCCGCATTGGTTTTGCAGGAAGCTACACCTTATTTTTGCTATGCACATAGGTCTCATCGCTGTAGAAGGCGAGCTAAATTTTTAGCAATATATCCGAACACTTCTAATGAGTGTTGCAGATGATTACAATCGCAAACAGGTAAGTAATAGCAGTTCTACGTACGGCTTTCTACAATTCTGACATTGATGTCACATGCACTAGAGAAGAATATTGGTAAAACACACGCGTCAATGGGCGATAGGAACAATTTTCATTTGTATTGTATTATAGAACCCCGCCTTCGGAGCTGCTCAGCTCAAGGAGCTATCCCAAATCGCTATCGACAAAGCCGTACAAGTGAACATCCCCTGCGATGGAGTATATAGCTTGCTGAAATAATTTTAATGCCCGTAGATGCGTGACATCTGGAAGCAAAGAGATCTCCAAAATGGTGGTTCTGCGCGTCTTGATGTTCTTAGTGGCATCATCAAAATGACTTATGACATCATTGGGTTGGTAGGTATGCCTGTCATCAAAAAAGACATTGCATAGCCGATTCATTCCCATCGATCTACAAGGTTTGGATATCATATCAACGCTCTTAGCGAAGACGAAGTACCCAACGAGATTAATGTAGCTTTCCAAGGAATTCTTAGACGTGCCAAAGGCAGACCCAGCATCTTCCCCGTACTCAAGTATTTCCTGCCCCCGCTGCGCTATCTCGTATGCATGTTTGGTTTCATGTGCCGTGTTCGAACGATCTTATTGTTTTTCTCCTTATGGGCAGCCTACGTCTCGTATGAAACGCATCGCCACAGCACGTGCGGCGATGAACCATATTGAAATGGATCTCATTGCGAAGGGAAAGGCGGAGATTCTTACTGCAGCAGGAGGCGTACCGGAGAAGATAGAAAAGAACATACGTGGACGCGACGTCCTCGCCCTCTTGCTGAAAGAGAATATGGCAGTCGATGTTCCAGGGAATCAGAGGATGTCCGATGAAGATGTGTTGGCGCGTTCGTTGCGCTCATTCACTGGCATATCCCACGTCCTTTCTTGCTGATGCCTACGCTCCACAGAAATTCCAGCATCTGCTTGGGAAGAATTTAGTTGTGGACGCAAAGCACTGACATCCGGTCTTGTTCTATCGACAGATTTCTTGTGGACGGCCACGACACCAGAGTCGACCTCAATGGTTGATCGTAGAATCACACTAGTAGTCGCACAACTTTGCATCACTTCCTCCGCTGCTGCCTGGGCGCTATACGCGCTTTCTCAGCTGCCAGCTGCGCAGGAAAAACTGTGTGTAGAGCTCCGTGGCGTGAATACGGAGAATCCACGTAAGAATACTCTCGAGGCGCCGCCATACCTCGATGCGGTTGTACGAGAAATCATGCGTCTATATGCGCCTGTGCCAGCGCCTGTGCGAAGTGTAGCTGAGGATGCAGAAGTGCCGCTCAGCAATACACTTTGTGGATATTAACGGAAATATTCGTCACAGCATTCAGTATATCCACGGTAACGTTCCGAGGGAAGACTGAAGGACGTACTAATGGATTCGTGTTACCTAGGGTAAAGAAGGGTATCCAATTGATATCCCAATTCTTGCTATGAATAAATCGAAGGAGCTGTGAGGTCAAGATGCATTTGAATTAAAGTATGTCCCTTGATTTCTCATTCTCCAACTCCACTCTTCACTCAGCTCCGTTCAGACTAGAGTGCTGGGAGGCCCTTCCCGAAGCCGTACAAGCCATACCCGGCGCATGAGAGAATTTGCTCACATTTCTTGGCGGGCATCATGCATGCATCGCGTACCGATCTTCAAACATTGAGTGCGTATCAGTCATTCTCCATCTGTCACTACATTTCCCCCATTTGAATCACATTGTCCTCACCATCATTCTTTGTGCACAATCAGTCCAACTTTGCACTGACATGTAGCGCAGAGTGAAAGCCCTCCTCTTTATATTGTTCGCAAGCTCGAATTCGAGCTTGCCATACCTCCCAATGACCGTATCACGTTAGCACCATATTTCAGCGGCCAGTAGTGAAAAGCGAAAAAGAGAAAGGCCCACAGATCCCGATGATTGTCAGAGTTCTGGGCGTGTTTGATCGAAGCGCATAGGTGTTCACTGAAATGTACGACGTCGACCACAGTATCAAGTAACATTATCGTGGCTCACATTAGGAGACCGTATTGAGAGCCACGTCTGTCAGCATATTCATCGATATGTAGTAAAGAGATCAATCTGACCGCAATGACTATCTTCCGATAATTGTTGGAGCCGTACGTATTAAGGGACGCACAAAATGATACGAAGAATTCCACCATAAACAGCATTCAACGATCACGACACAGGGATCCTTCCTCTTGCGAAAGCGGTAGATCCAGTAAGTAGGGATTTCTCAACGCTCCACTATACCCGATACTTATAGAGTAGAAATGTTCCCAATAGACCCAAGAAAACGAGCAACGTATTGTGCGTCAAACTAAGTGTCTGAGCGAACTGGTTGATCCACGAAGCACTTCTCGCCCTGCCACTCGCAACGATATTCCGAGCACGCGCCTCCAAGTCTTCATCCGGTACATGTTTGTACGCAAGTTGGCCCGGCGTAGCGCAGGGATCTGGTCCTGAAATAGGTGTATTTCCTCCATCGTGGCCTGACACCACATTCGAGCAGTGTCGTTCAATCCGTAATTCAATCTAACGAAATAGTATGACATCCTTCAAATAGAATAGGTCGGCTGCACAATAGCGTACCTTCACACAAGCCACGAGAAGATCCACATAGTTCGGATCCTCAGGCACAATTTTGTTGCGGAGCTCGCGTACATACTTACGAAAGACATGTACGACTGCTGAGGAACTCGAAGATTGTGCCACGAGCTAAGTTTCCTGTATCAGGTCGGGGGCACAGGAAGCTCGTGGAGTACTCACAAATGCGGTTTCTACACGCCCGATGTCTGTCTCTCCGTGAAAGATTGTGCTGTTCATATAGCAACGGTTGAGTCTGGCTATGGATATAATCTGTGGTAGCGCAAAGAACTCGAACATTTGCGTCTGCTGCACGAGATGGATATAGTCCAGGATATCCAGTACGTGCTTCAGGGCATCAACAATCATACCACTGAGTGCCCACAGCGCCTGATGTTCGTTCTCGGGTTGATACATCTCCTCCATCCTGGTAAATGCAGGTCGTCCAAGAGCTATCCCATACACCTCTCGTCCCCATATCTCTTTGGGCCAAAAGCATCGTTGTTCTTCGATATCCTCGCGGAAGTCACGAATGATGTCAACCTTCTGCACGAACAAGCCCGCAGAATTCGCGAGCGCAAGCAGCTCGGCGGGCAATGGCTGGTCCTTACCGGGCTGGGCGAACATCCGAGTCAAACCCTCACCCACGAGTCCGGCAGCATAATGACAGTATAAGTCGAAATCGATGATGGATTCAATGCAGAGTTGGCCAGTGACGGCAGCACGCCGGGAATAATCGGCCATGCCATTGCCCATCTTACGTGTGATATCGACAATGATTTCCAGATGACTGATATGTAATAAGATGTATGAGCGTATAATTGCAAAACAGTGCCACGTACGACTCTTCTAGCAGAAGAAGTTCTGCGTGAATCACATGGAACTCGACGAGCATCTGGCGCATCTTCTCGTTTGGGCCACTCCCCGTAAACGACCAGCCGGCGACCAGCATGCTTTCGTGAAAGGACCGGAGGAGATGTTGCTTCACGTCAGTTGAGATAGTCATGTCATCTTCGATTGTATCCATGGCACGCAAAACGACATAGAAAACACACGCCTGGTTATCCCGGATTAACAAAACGACACTTGCCACGAGAAGCACTCACAATCCTCGCTGTCCGGCCCTCCAATTGCTCGATCGAACGAGCAACAGCTTTACTCTTCATATACAAGAACTCCCAGCATCTACGCATAGTTCTGCGGTCGCAATCAACGTGACCGGGTCCATTCCTCCCAGCAGCACCGCACTGCAAAGAATACCGGAATATCAACCGGATTAAAGCAAGGAGCTGCGATGGGCGGACAACAAAAAGTGATAGCAGATTCATGGTGATGCTTCAACGGTACATGTGTTATAGGATACACGATTACGCTCCCCGCCAAAGACGTATATATATGAGGACAAAAAATTGACTCATCGAGTCTATCACCACAGTGGTACTCAGCATTGAACAAGACAGCTTACGTCACTGACACTTGCAATGCTAGTGCGGTAAACGATATGCCACCCCAACGCCTTTGTTCGCCTGACTTGACGAGGTTGACGAGATAAAGAGGAGAAACGAGGCCAATGAACTCACTGGAGGTAGAACGAGATGTTCTCAAATGTCAAAAGAAGCAATGCCATCGATGTAGTATTATCACTTGGAAGTATTATGCGTTCTGGTAATATCAAAATGAGTACATATAGCAGAGGGAATGGAAGACGTCGGAACTTCCGGGGAACTCTTGCGTGCGGGCAACTATGCCAACACCGAACAAGAGAGCTACAAAAGTAGATATAGGAATGACCCGCCCAGACCCTAGGATCTATCGTGTCGAACTTACGCATAGGAATATCAACAGTCCAGATCTAAGTCTACCGGATATCGTGTCAATACAGTATGCGACACGCATAGTGCGCAATGGTCACTTACCGTCAGTGTATAGAGCCGGTCCAACAAAGAATGATCGTGATCAAACGATACCATACTAGATGCTAGAATACTAGGGAATATCACCAAGCCATTAGCCAAATTCAGGGTAGTGTCGAACGTTATCTATGACTGCATACGCAGATTTAGTTCCGTTCCCAGGCGTGTCGACACAAGTAGAACCACACAGATTCTACATTCTCGTCAAAGTCACGATCATCTGTCAAGAACCGCGTCCCTGCAATTCGTCGATTCGTCTGACACCGTTAGAATTTTGTAATCTTCTAGCCATGATTTGGACTAACAGCTTACCACAGGTCTATCTAGTCTCCCTGCGCTGCAAGGGCCGCTTCTTAACATGATGAGCCCAGTCTGTCCCGAGCAGTGGGTTGGACAGCCGTTACTTCCGAGACTTAGTGGTGAATTTTCAAGCTCGACTTAGAGCTCGAGATCGACAGGTAGAGAACACGGCAGTCCAACTATCCGAAGTTCTAAGCCATTGGCTGTAAGCAATCCAATAAAGGATGGGCAATTTGTAGATTGGTCTATAACTCAGTAGCCCGGATATACTAAGCTCTTTTTCTAAGTTGTGCTCCTCAATTATAATCTAATCTCCGGAATTATAATTATAAATATACTTACGTGCAATACCGGATGACATCAGACATTGCGTAAACGAAATCCGACGCGACTCCGAAACATTCACATTCATAACACGATTCCCAACGCTCCCGACCTCTTCATTTACCACCAGGACTTCCTCAAAAACAACAGTCATGTCAGTGCTCACTATCGCTCGCACCGCTGCCCGCGCATCGCGCGTGTTCTCCGCCGCGTCACTCTCGTCGCAGGCGAAGTCTCTTCATACCCTTCCCGACCTTCCATATGACTACGACGCACTCGAGCCGCACATCTCTGGCCAGATAATGAAACTGCATCACCAGAAGCACCACCAGACGTACGTAAATGGGCTCAACGCGGCTGAGGAAAGCTACGCTAAGGCGACGACGCCGAAGGAGAAGATCCTCCTCCAGCCTGCGCTCAAGTTCAATGGCGGTGGTGCGTGAAATTTAATCTCTATTTCTGTCTGTCCGCATATAAAGAATTGTATAGGACACATTAACCACACGTTATTCTGGAAGAATCTTGCGCCCCAGTCCCAAGGTGGCGGCCAGCTCTCCTCTGGCGCTCTAAAAGATGCAATCGAGGCAGATTTCGGCAGTCTTGATGGTGCGCTGTTCCATAAGCATAATTAGAGAGAAATGAGGCTTATGACACGGCTTCTATCCTTGTACAGAGCTCAAGAAGAAGCTGAATGCCGCAACTGCTGCCATCCAGGGTTCTGGCTGGGGATGGCTAGGCTACAACCCGAGTACGAAGAAGCTTGAGATCGTTACGACTGCAAACCAGGACCCTCTTCTTTGTAGGTAATCTTATGGGTTCTTTTAGGGGACAGTCCTAAGGCTATTGTTTCGCAGCACACATCCCTATCTTCGGCATTGATATCTGGGAACACGTAAGTTTCGCGTCACTCCTTCACAAGTGTGTATGCGCTGACGTTCTCACGTCTTGCAGGCCTTCTACCTCCAATACTACAACGTGAAGCCTGATGTGCGTGTTTCGCGCTTATTGGTTTTTTGCAATGTGCTGACGTGGATTTGTCTCCCATAGTACCTCAACGCCATCTGGAATGTCATCAACTTCAAGGAGGCTGAGGCACGTTATCTTGAGGCCTCCAAGTAGATAGCTATGAACATTGCTTAAGCTCGAGCATACCAAGGCATTTGAATCCAGACATGACTGCTTTCTGTCACATTTGTGGGATATGCCATTTTTTGCAATGTTTTCCGATGACTACACTCCGGTGAGATTAGTAAGCAATGACGGTACAGTTCATTGGACACCTGGGTCTAAATATCAACGCATGAGCATTTGGGGTATGCTGCTCACTGCTAGCATAACTAAAATCAAGGTTAGCCTTGTTCAGTTCGGCCGTATAAAACTGAAATATGTACGCGGTCGAATTTAAGCGATGACGCGTAGGATGGTCACAGTGTGATTCTCCTCTAAGCGGCCTCTCTACGCGGCTCTCTACGCAGCTCTAAGGCCTAACTGAACAAGGCTATTGTGTCGGTCAAGAATGTGCTCGCAAACTTACATCCGACGAGGGATAGGTGGACCTTGTAGCCTCAATTGAATGCGCATGTCGTGGGTATACAGACAACATTTGTTTCGATGCGGAAATCCGAACATGAACATGCCGCCCGCCCAGAAGTTTTTGAAACACCAGTCGTAAGTTACACATGATGTACCGCCTGCCTAGAAGCCAATTCAACATCAGTATTAGAGTGGCTTGGGTGCCAGAAGACTAGTAGATACGCCGCCGCACGTCACATCGTGTACACGTAGGAGCAGCATTTCGCCTAGTTCCACTCTGATCACCCAAAATCCGGGTTAGTAAGTAAGCCACCATACGTTCGCTGAGTGTTTGCATCCGGATCTCTACACGCCGCAGACACCATCCATGCTTGCTCGACATTAGGGCGGCGTGGGCGCGTGAAAAGATGCCTGCTTGCCTGTAGCCGGTAACATATCTCGGAACAAGGAATGGAATACAGGCCCGTGTCAGGAAGATGAGATGTTCGTCCAAGGGTGTCCACCGCGCGCGAACCATCGGAAGGTGGACGATGCAGTGTAAGCGGCCGCCCGCTTGCGAAGGCTTTGCGGAACGCGGAGCTAGATGTAATTCCCAATGTTATATGCAGAAATGGTATCAACAATAAGAGTTCAGACTCCAGAGCCTCGATGAAGTTGCAGCAACTTCATCGAGAGGAGGCTACTGGAGGCTGCAAGTTGCAAGAGTCTTCCCGGGCGCCAAATGAGCGTTTTCATCTCCTCCTTCATGCACTCTTGGGCAAAAAAAAAAAGTCGGCGAGCTTTACATACTCACTGCTACCACGTTTGCCCACTTGACGGGAATCTACTGCATTATAACGTCCCACATTGACAAAGATCAATGCAGCACGCTTAAACTCACTGGCAGTGGCAGTAATAGCATCGCTCAGAAAGTATGTCAGTCAGGTGAGAGTCGGCCTTGCCAAACGCCTTGACATGCGATGCCTCGCGGAAACATACGAGCTCGTGATCTGACCTGGACCGCACAGGTGCAGAGCTTCTAGAAATGCTATTTTCATTGGGTGTGCAGTAGTTCGGCACCGATGACAGACACTCCACTGCTCCTGGATGTTGCGTATGTCGATTTCCACCTCCGCAGGTGTGCCCAGGTACCGCGAACCATCGGTGTGATAATCCAGCTCTTTCCTCCGTGTTTTCTGTGCCTTGCGAGGGTCATGCACCCTTCCCACTGTCAGATTTCAGAGCCCGCTGCTCCTGCGGCATAGAGCATAAAAGCGCATCCCTGCGTCATAGCCAGGATATTCTTCAGTCTTCTTCCCGTGTAATTCTTCGCACCCTCAGTCCCTCCCTCACAATCTCGCGGATTACCATGGACGGCTTTGGAAGCAACAACAACAACAACTTCAGCGGCGGGAACGACAACTTCGGCGGAGGTGGTGGGATGGGTGGAAACGACAACAACGGTGGGGGAGGGATGGGCGGTAACAACAACTACGGCGGAGGCGGAATGGGAGGCAACGACAACAGCGGCGGAGGTGGGATGGGAGGAAACGACAACTATGGCGGAGGTGGGATGGGAGGAAACGACAATTATGGCGGAGGTGGGATGGGAGGAAACGATAACTCTGGCGGAGGTGGGATGGGAGGAAACGACAGCTATGGCGGAGGTGGGATGGGCGGCAATGATAACTCTGGCGGTGGTGGAGGGATGGGTGGGGGCAACAACTTTGGTGACAACAACTCCAACTCCAACGACGGCGCGAACAGCAACTCAAACTACGGCGGAAACGGCGGCGGTGGGGGTTTCGACTCCAACAGCTCGAATTATGGCGGAGGGAACAGCGCCGGAGGGTTCGACTCTAATAGCAACAGCAACAGCAACAGCAATTCGAGCTCTGGAGGAATGATAGACAAGGGTGTTGAGTATGCCGCGTCGAAAGCTGGTTTTAATCTCGTAAGTCTTCTTTCCCAAGCTGAGAGCAGGGACACTCACTCGCCCTGTGCATAGGATTCATCTGAAGCTAATACAATAGGCTCAGGCCTTGAGAGTGCAGCCAGAAGGTTTTGAGCTGGTTAAATCGCGACGCTTCCCCTTGGATCGAACGTTGGTTTATATTCGACCGTATGTGCTATGATGCTGTGCGCAGGCTAACAGTGTGTAGTCTTGAATGTAATTGTATTTCCCGCCTTTGTTGCATTGTCTAGAGTTATGACAGTTTTGCTGGGGATACTCGCCTGACTAATTCTCAGTAAGCTGTCAATATGGGCTTCATGCAAATCCGTAACTCGTCGAGGACAGTACACGCCGCCACTCCGAATTATGAAGGATCATTGCGAACACCAGCTGTCTACTGCTACACCGGTTCTCTTGGATACAAGATAATACGAATAAAGTAGTACTATGATGTGCGCACAGTGCTAGAAACTGCTACAGCTACTCAATAACCTGTATAACGAAACGAATAAGTTTACGATCACCGCAGTAAGCTTTGTGCGGCAGAGCACACAGAAGTGGTTGTGATCTACGGAAAATCGCATGCACCTGTTCGTAGAAAAACTTGCTCTAGCTAGACAGGCGATACTAGCCTCTATTATTTCTGATGCACGGGAGCCTTTCGAGGTCGTTGGGGCGCACGGGCTTGCTTTCGTATAGCGGGCGGACCTGCTGCCTGCAGTGATCTGGGTGGATTCAGCAACGGCATCGCAACGGTAAGTATCGACGGGACAATAATAGGTCCAGGAAGAGCTTGATCATCAGGGTGCAAGCTGGACCCGAAGCTCCTAGAAATACATGGAATAGGACCGCACAGATCAACGGGAAAATCCCCATCCAGAGCTGTTATCCGTCGCCGTTTTTCTGCTCGACGAGGGAGGTCGCCTTGGTCTCCTTCCATGTACGCACGTTTGGCAATGGTAGAATGGACAGCCATTTCTTTCTCAAGTTGTTGATGATCTGCAGCCGGCTGTTCGGTGCTCGACAAGCAAGAGCTCAATGCAGCAGATGCTAGTAAATGCGACTGTCCTTCGTGAATCAGAGTAGGCGCGGTGATACGTCCTTGCTCTAATGCTGGAGATTGCACACTCCGATGCCGTGAGATAGCATGTGTACTGGGCACCATTAACGGTGCAGGTTGGCCCCAACCTGAGGACATTTTATCGCATCAGCCAATCAAACACGTAAATGCATAGAGGACGAGAGCTCGCCATGCATCTCCCCTGCTCGCAAAACATAAGATGGATAGATAGGTGCCAGCATTGGCATTGCTGGGTTGAGCCCATATTGCCTAAGATCGTCAGCGGTGGGCAATATGGGAGGCTGCCTGGACATAAATGTCGACGGGTGAGGGGAGTGCCACGCGTATATAAGATCAGTTTGAGGTCCAAGTGGCCTTCGCGATAGTCAGTCATGTAGACAAGGTAGTTGATATCGGTGCGTACTGAGTTAAGGTCCAGCCAGACATCATTGCGTGCAACCAAGATGTTAAAAGATTATAGAGAATGGAGATTATACAAAATGAATGCGATTCAACAAAATTATGAGGAACGGAATGTCGAAGAGCGGGAAGTTAAGTTAAGATTTACAGTCGCGTCTGAGCTCCGAGCTCAAAAGACAAAGAACGCGTATCTCGTGACCGCGTTCCAGAAAAATGCCGACTACTTGGCCTCCTACCGAGACGCTGGATAAGAGTTATAGACAGAAACTTACCTGCTAAGACACCACTGGCAGTAAAGTAGCAGTGGTGGCCAGGGAGCGGGTTTGAAACGACCCATGTCGGTGGTACCGTTGTCGTGGACTTTCTTAGAAACTGTGCTTAGAAACGGCGTACTACCAGTGTAACCCAATCTCTATCCCATGTTCATTTTGCCCGCGTACTTGGAAATTGCTACAATATTCAAAATGCCGCCCATCGCTGTAATAGAATCTTGACGACAGAGAAGGTGGGCCAAACAATTGGTACATTCATGGAACGATTGGCGAATCTCGAAAAAGTTGCTATCGTTTAGCAGAAAGAGTCAGGCCAGAAGGTATCACCAGGAGTGTGGGAATCCGGATGTCGAGCACTGCCGGATGGGTAGCGCAAGAATAAGTCGCGAAGCGGGCCGGCAAGAGTCGAGATGCACTTATAGTAAGTACGATTGTACGATATGATCAGCAGGCAATAATTCTTGTGAGAATATACAGCGTTGAGTAGTAGACTAATCGTAGTCCAGACAGTACGTAGTACGTCACAATGAATCCGTGCAAGACACATAGCGCTGAGCTAATCTGTAAGAGCAATTTGCCTAGATGAGAATAAATTTCGAAGTTGATTGAGTTTGAATCTTATTTTCACAAGTCTAGCTGGTGCGGGACAACGGTGAACGGCGCGACAAGCTACCAGTATATCATCCACCACGCGCGATGCGATGTAGCCACTGGTATACAGGAGGCTTCATAATGCACTTTCGGATAGCTAATTCTCGAGGATCTCGCCATCCCTCCCTCAAGGGTCTCATTTCTTTTTTCCCCCGTGAATTCAAATTTATAGTGTGTGCTGGCACTCGAATGAAACAGTTGTGTTTTTCTACAGCAACCCGTGGCCCCGGCGATGACAACACCGGGTTGCTATCACGGTATCCGAGCGCCAAACTTACTTGTTCCCTCTGCTTGCAATATACTCGCGTGTCTTCGATACGTCTGGGTACGAGACCATACACAACCGAGGCGCAGCCAATTGTATGAGGATGTGGCTCATTTGGTGTTTTGGATTTGGATTTTAGCATAGAAAGTCGATGTTTTCATTAGAATTTAGTGAGTCGTGACAGACGTGACTTCAAGGCGGGCGGGACGGATTTTCCAATAGCCGCTTTTTTGGATGATAGGCTGGACGAATGTTCCTCATGCCAAGAAAAGAGAATGGGCAACTCACCTTCGGTGCGTCGTCACTCTAAGGTCCAGCCATTTTATCAGTTCAGAGGGCTGATCCCAATCCTGGATTAGCTGGTCCGAGTCGGGGCCCGGGAGGAAGTGAGTACGTCCACCGTCCGCATTGTCCGTCAATCAGATGCGTAACGAGTTCGATTCGTGTTTCACTCATCCTGAAAAACTCAAGTTCCGAGGACCTGGTTTGATCCGAGTGGATCCGTCGTACCGTACAAGTGCGATTCTAACAGCTAAAAAGTCATTCTAAGTGTCTGGACCCTAATGGATCTAGGATGAATGAATGAACGTGAGTTGATTATTGCTGTCCAACGCACGAAACAAAAGTGAGGACGCCAAGGGTACGTGCATCTGGAGAAGGGCAAGTTCCTATCCTGACAACCTCTTGAGGCAACGGGGAGTCCTCAGCCTGCCTCATTCGTTGATCCGATTTCTGTTGTCGGCTGGCACTCTGATCCTGATCTTTGATGAATCGACCACCATATGGTTCATACCTATACTCATATATATGTGATGCGATGGGCCAGGTTTCTTCAGTATCTTTGTCGTCTCCATTTCTATGCCCTAAACACAAGGTCTTGAGGCTACAGCTATAGGATTTCCCACCGATCCACAGTCACCTTCAACATCATTTTGGACATTTCGTCATGACGGGACCGAACCTGGGTCTTGACAGCAGCATGGGCTGTTTCTTCATAGGTGTGCTGTTCGCCATCATGTATGTCCCTCCTTTGTATCGACTTTCCCTGCGATTCTGAGCCGATGTCGCTTAGGTTCTACGGCTTCACCTGTGCCCAAGTGTTGTACTACGTCTGGCGATATCCAAAGGACCAGATGTGGTTAAAAACAATGGTGAGCCCTAAACTGCTTGTGAAGTGCAAATGATTTCCTTATCTACTCTCATAGGTTGCAGTCCTGTGGTGCGTTTTATATCCATGTTATATAAACCTAGCATGAAGATTGTCAACATTCTAGGCTGCTAGACACTGCAACGACGATTTTTGACGTTGTGGTAGGATACGCGATGTCTGCTGGGAGGTTTGTGGCTGATGCACCATCAGTTCATCTGGCATTATGTTGTAGGAGGACACGCGGATATTTTCACTCTTCTTTCTCTTCCCAGGTGGGTACCGGTACAATTGCTGCTTCCGTTCTCATGGTGTTTGAGCACAGCGCTGGTGCCGTAAGCGTTATCAAATACTGATAATCTTATCTATTGGGCCTGCTAACTGGTTTTATGGCTCATTGTAGGCTGAATATGGGCTCGCTGTGCGTTTTTATACCTCTATGCGCTCATCTATATGCGATGAGCTGACCCTCCGTAGGCAACGATAGTATTGATAACCCAATTGTAAGTCAATTTATCAATACATTTGTTGGGTTCAGATCAATAATGCTACCTTTCAGCTATTACATGCATACAATCTGGAGGTGTAAGCTGCTCCTTTCTATTCCAGGAAGAATATATGAAAAGCGTATCCTCTTACCTTTATAGTATGGGGGCGCGAGGGGCGTTATAAATGGTACAAGATACCACTTATGGGGATCGTGGTAAGTGGACATTGTCGTACGCTGAATTTAACGCTCAGCCTTCATGATGTGGTATAACGCAAGGTCATAATCGCTCTAGTGTCATATGGTATGTGTAATATTTGAGAGTTGTCCCTTCCATGCCATTTAAAATGATATGATCGGTATAGCATGCGCTTTCGGTGAGCAATTGGCTGTCATCTACTGTTCGAGCTTTGGTGGTCATGTCGTTCAATCCATTCCTTAGGAAACGTATACTATGCGTAAGTCAATGCTCGTGGTACCGCATGTCTTACACGAATTAAACACTTCCGACTTGGGCGCCAGTGCAGTCGACCCAACTGTGCCTGGCGTATTTACCAAGACAAAGGTATGTCTGAAAACTATGACAGATACTTGTAGAAATACTACCAGCACTTTCCAGATTACAGCCTCGGTGCAACCTGCTACTGCATCCGCCACGGATGTGTACATCACGATAGCGCTGTCCTTGGTTCTACAGAATGAGAGGACTGGTCTTCGACAGTTGGTTCACCTGCTCTTCTTACGTTTTGGGTCTAATTAGTAGCCTTACTCAGAACGGATAGTCTTGTTCGAAAGCTTACCATCTACGCGATCAATCGTGGCATCTTTACGGCGTAAGTTCTCCTTGATCCGTGCAAGTCAGCACTGATCAACAGCCGAAATTAGTGTCGTACAAATTACTCAAGCCGTTACTGTACGCAACACTCTTCAGTAGATATCTGCTTTCTGATATTCCTGTCCCATTCAGTACATCGCGTGCAGTACGAATGTGTTCTACTGGTCGATATTTCATTTCCCAGGAAGCAAAAGTACTCAAACAGCTTCTTTTCTCATCCCATGGTTGCTAATTGCAAATACCTATCCCATCTAGTATATGTCAACTCGGTGGTGGCAATGTCTGTTCCGCATCTATTCTTTTGCGACCTTCGCTCATATGCCGTCTCGCAGATTAAACGCGCGTCAGCACGTTCAGAGCGGGTTTCAATCTTACGTATCATCCAGAGCCACCTTTGAGGACATGGTAGACCAAGGCGCATTTCCCAAGGCCCTACGTTCGAAACGATCACCAGGGTCATGGGTTCGAAAGTAAGTCCTATGAAGTCTTGGCGGTTCCCAATTGTGTAGACTCATGCGAGCACAGATACAGACCTGCCGGACAGACTCATCTCTCCGCCGGTACAGAGATATCATTTACGACGGAAGTAGTCCGTGACGACGATACCCCTGGGGGGTTTACTTATAAAAGATGAACATGGTACACATAGTCCATAACTCGTGCTTCCTGCGATAACAACGTTCTTGTTCTTAGCATTATTCTCCATCCCACACTTGGGACGCAAACAGCCAGTAACATACACATAGAATCCTTAGGGCTGTAATTTGGATCTGAATGCTCAGATGCTGCTGAAGTACACTAGGGTTGATATCTGCTTCCAAGTGATCCCGCGGTAATCCAGTGCGACACAACTCGAATTTTGCAGTACACGCCGCGGCTCTGCTAATTGAAACCTGGCTAAATGATTTTGGGGGCTCTGAGTCATATTTTATCCCCTATTTTACGTTGATTCTGCCAACACACAAGTCTTCGCGGGCTCAAATTGTTGGTTGATTTCCCACTACTTGTTCATTATCCTGCTTTTGATTGCTGGCTGTACCAGTTGCGCTCTCGTAGAATATTTTTTCTGGCCTTCAAGAACTTCGTTGAATTTAAAATTATTCTTGGGTATAATCATTTATTGCTAAAGCCATGATGATCTGTTACAATTTGTGGTTGTTAATATTTTGATGCTCAGACTGGGCTTGGTCGTCCTCCTCAGATGGCCATGCTAAGCTTTTGAATGAAAAACAGGCGTTCGATCATCTGTATGGACTTATGTGATTGTTCTTTCGTCAAACATGGGTAGAACCACTCACATGTGACATCAATACTGGTAAGTTCGAATTGAGGTAATTCACAGCTAATGTTCAGATTACAACCATAGACACATTCATGCGGAACGCCATTCTAAGACCAGAAGACGCCTACAGCTCACCATGACTACGGATGTGATCAGCGTGCGGCGTGTTCTGCGAAAAGAGATGATGGACTATCGGAGAAGGACTTGCTCACCCCACGGCTCCAACCACAGGCAAATCATGTGGCATGTCACTGCTGTTGGCGTTACAAAGACCTCTAGGTCGATTCAGAGTCCGTCTGCTATCTCGTCTACATAAACTGGAAAATGCACTATCAACTTTCTGTCACGAAGAGTGAGATCACGGCCAATAGTAAGACTGACCGTTCACCGACGAGCCGACAATTTGTACGCATACATTAACTCACTTGAACATGCGGACCCCCTGCGATTCGACGTATAACCTAGGTCATCTCCGTTGCATCCGTCTTCCCTCTGCCCGCCTCGATATCCTTGATACCCGCCCTGATCTCGATCGCGGTCACCTATCAGGTCTAGGTACTTCTCACCCTCACCGATGCTGCCTATCCATTCTTTCCGCTACGCCGTGCAACCTCCCGACCTATACGCACGCACGCGCAGACCCGAGCAACCTCAACGCTTGGGCACACGCGCAGGTCCGCTACGGGCCAGCCAGCCTCCACAAGATGCACACACCGGTATACGCCCGTGCTCCCGCACCACGCACATGGCGGGCTCTATCACGGCCCCGCCGCAGAGCCGTACGTTTATTCCCGTGCCATCGTTGTGTTCCCCCACGTGTTGATGCTCCCATCGATATTTGACATTTGTGGTCTCGTACACAAAATATGGCTCCATAGTGTGCAGAGAGTATCAATGAGAAGTGAGTAGACATCCCAAAACGAATCTGATGACACTTGTGGCTGTCAGATCTCGGCATAAAATTCCTCTGTAAAGATCGTTGCATGTGGGGGGTCTCGTTGCATGACAATTCGGCGGCGGGGGCTACTTGACGCCCTCATATCTCTACGGGGAGGACGCAAAGCACTTCTACAGCGCACACAAAGCGGCTTGTGATCTGCTCAGTGCGGCAGTCTACCCGACATTCAAGAAATAGTGCTACGAGGACGTTGTCATCAAGTCCGCGGCAAGTCGCGCGGTATCGACGGCATGTTCTTCGACAGCCTCTGCAACGAGCCACACAAGTGGTTCCTCGAAGCTGGGGGCGAGG